TAAGTCATATTGCTCGTGAAAGTAATTATTGACACCTAGATCATAATTCAACTTACTATATGCATCTCTCGCTATACTGTTTCTTGTCGTTTCTACAAAATTTCTATGTTCTTCAATACTTAGTTTCGTTATTATATTTTTTTGCCACATTTTCCAGTTTTCATTAATACTCAAATCATTAGTTATATTTTACTCGGATGCCAGATTTGACCATTTTTCAAAAAATAATGTTTTTTCATTTATAAGGTACTGCGCTAATGTTTTTTGAATCCTATTGCCTGGCAAATTCCTAACACGATTGATGTAATCAAAATGCAATTTTAATGTTTGGGTATATAGCATCTAAATTCACCATATAATTTGGGGTATTTTTCGGCAAACGAAATGTTCTCTTTATATAAAATGTCTGCAATTTTTCTACTGCGTCATATTTATCAACACCCCAGATTTGCGCTGCATAATTTAGAACTGACTTAACTGTGGCTTCAAAAACTTTGTATTTTACGGGCAGTGACACTTTCGGATTTCCTAAGACATTTTTCCAGGTACAATTAATAGCCAATTTAGCTTCATTTAACTTCTCGTTCAAGTGGTTATCGAATTTTGCGTTATATTTCATATTTATTCCTAGATATTTATAATTATTAACCACTTCTAATTGATCATCGTTAAGGTACCATTTTTCATCATTTCTCAATCTTCTAGCATGTTTCTTAAATATCATCACTTTTGATTTGTCTGTATTTATAGATAGTCCCCATAAGTTGCAATATCTATTTAATTCATCTATCATAATTTGTAACATTATTAGAGAATCTGCAAACAACACAATATCATCAGCATATAATAGTACTTTTAGGCACATGTTGGCAATCGTAATACCACCAGAAAGAAATTTACTTAAGTCATCAACGAACAGTGCAAACAATATAGGGCTTAAGACACAACCTTGTCTCACTCCGGTACACGTTTGGAACCATCTCGATGTACTTCTTCCGTCCCATACTGTTGACTCATTGTTGCAGTATAGACTTTGCAGTATTTTCAAATATTTTGTTGAAAGACCCAGCTGGCTTAGTTTGTAAAATAGTACGTTTCTTTGTATTGTATCGAAAGCAGCTTTAAGATCTACGTAAAAAACATATAATTTCTTGCTTTTTGCAATAAACTCTTGCGGTACACTAGTGATGACGAAAATATTATCTACCGTGGAGTAACCTTTTCGAAATCCAGCTTGAAATTCGCTTAATATGTTGTTTTGATCAACCCAATTTTTAATTCTGTTATACAGGAGTGTTGTAAAGACTTTAGCTGATGTATTAAGAAATGCTATTCCTCTATAATTTGCTACATTATTTGGGTCACCTTTTTTAAATAGGGGAAATGTTATGGCTTTTTTGTAACTATCAGGTGGGGCTGCATTTTCAAATATATAATTGTATGATTCAGCCATATGCTCTATAAATTGTGGCGTAGCATATTTTAAAAACTCAGCTGGAATTCTGTTTTCACCTGCGGCTTTGTTATTTTTTAAATTCTGGAGCACTGCATAGACCTCTTCAAACTTTATTGGAGCATCTAATAACGCTTCATTTATTACATACGGCAGGGCATAACTGAAAGACTTGCTTACTATATTGCTATTTAACTGGCTTTTAAAATGTGCCGCCAAAGCTTCGGCGTCCACTTTAATTCCTTTTATGTAATCTGCACGATTTATTTTTTTAACTCCGCTCCAAAATGATTTACTATCAGCTGCTTGGGATATCGACATTGCCATTTCATTGAAATATGACTTCCTTTTCTCATCACACAGCTTTTTGTATTCTCTGTTTACATTTTTGTATTTCTCTAAATCAGCTATATCACCACCTTTTTTAACTGTTTTGAGCCATTTAAATGATTTCTTTCTTGCAGTTTGACATTCAAAATCATACCATTTTTGTTTCCTATTTATACCCGCCGAATTACCCTGAAACGATTTTGCTGCTTGTTTTACACAATATTGAAGAATGTCATCTCCTTCCTTCGACGCAAATGTACTACCTTCGCATGCATTAAGCGATTCTTCAAGCTTTTCTTGGTACAGATCTTTATATTTATCTTTCCATATCAGTTTCGGCAGCAGCTGCATTTTATTTTCATTTGAATTAGAGGCATCTAGATTTACCATAATTTCCAGTGGTTGATGATCCGAGTATATCATGTCACGTATTTGAAACTCTTCAGTTATTATTAACCATACTCCTTTCACAAAACAATAATCTATCGTTGACCTTGCTACACCTCTGATAAACGTAAATGTACCCTCTCTGTCGCTTTTAGTGCGGCCATTTAACACGGTGACACCAAATGAATTGCAAATTTCTAGTAACTGTTTGCCATTTCTATCTACGATTGTATCCATTGCTACTCTGTGGCCCAATATTTCAGTCCACTGCATATTTGGGCTGAATTCCAGACATTGTTCTTTGCCTATTCGTGCATTGAAGTCACCTATTATCATGACATTTTCGTTCTGAGCTTCCACTAGTATTTCACATAAGTTATTGAGATCATTTAGCCAGTTATTGCAATTTAGGTAAACTGGGATTAAACATAACTTTTGATTATAAGTGGTTATCTCGATTATTGTTGAGTTCATAATGTGCTTGAACACCACAGTACCGCGAAATTGCACTTGCTTTCGTACACCATACAATTTTCCTCCACTGGCTCGACCTCTATTTGTTGTTCTTGTTGCAGGCACCCAATGAAGATTGTATTCTATAAATGTGTTTTCAATATAATCTGTCTTACTTACTAAAAATGTTTCAAATAATACAAATATATCAAATTTTTTAACATACTTCATAAATTCTATAAACTTATACTTATTTGCTAAACCAGCTACATTATACGATAATATTTTAAATTTATATGCTAATTTAGAGTCTGACCTGGCGGCATTTGCATTTTTTTCAATTTTTTGTTTGGCATCTTTAACGATTTCCTTTTTTACTAACAGTTTTTTGGCTGATTTATTTTTTTAAAAAGCTTGTTTTTCTCGAGCACTACTTCCACTTCAATCTCACCATACAATTGCTTTAATTGCTCAACAGCGTCACCATCTTTGCACTTTAGTTTCTTGTTTTTATCAAAGTGCATCCATTTTCCTGATATATTTATACTGTCATTTTTAACATAAATTTTGTGAGTATTTCTGATGGCTTCAAGATCTCTTTTCAGCTGTAATAAAGCTGATTTATTTTCTTGTCTAGTCAAGCTCAAGTCCTTTTCAATATAAATCGGAGTGCCATGCAGTTTTTTACCATTCTTTACGACATCTTTTGCCATTTCTGATGTTTCCAATTCTGCAATTACACTCACTTTATTTTTCTTTTCAAATATTACTTTTGTGTCTCGAACTTTAATACTTGTCATAGCCATTTTATCTCGGAAAATTGCCTCCACATCACTTTTTTTTGCTTTATCTTTTAGTAAAGCTTTCAATAGTACATTACGACTTTTACTTTGTTCGACAAGTCTTTCAATCTCCCTCCTGTCCTCATCTCTATCATTTCTTAATTGTTCTAATTCTAGTTTCAGATTATAGGCTTATATTTTGATTATAATAATTTAATCAAAATTATAATTTTGTAATAAATTTGATAAAATATTTTAACAAAAAAATTATTACAATTTTACATAGCGCTAGACAGCGCAATAACAGTCCCTTCCTTCGATCTTACCGATCGAATATTTAATATTTAATGGCAAGGACACCTAGTTCCACTAATTTTTAATGAATAGAATGAGCATTCACTTTCTTTTCAAGTTTTATTCATGCAACACATTTTGAGGTGCAGCAACACGTAGCTTAGAGAGATAACTTATATTGTTTCCACTGGATCAAATCGCGTGGGCAAAAACGTATTTAGTACTAGTTAAGTAATTAGCCCATATCCGCCCAACGTTCGATTAATCGAACAGCAAATTTTATCACTTTTCTTGGATTTTTTGTTTATATTAGAAAAACTTTAGAGTTTATATTTATTTATATATTATATCATTACTTTGAATGTATGAAGCTTTAGCTTTACAAAAACATTTGTGATTTCACTCCACACCCCCCACTTTCTTACTAATTAAAACATTTTGATCAAGAATTTCGAAAAAATATCCTTGGGCGGATATGGATTATTTAAGAAAGTAAGAGAGTTCACACAATTCTCAGGAGTGTAACCTCAGCGTTCCCAAATTTCAAGTGAGTTAAAAACTGAGAATTGTTTGCAAATTTTATTTTTTGTAAATACCCTACATATTTTTAATAAAGTTTTTAATTAATGAACACAATTCCTTCAATAGTTTGAATGGTTTAAGAGCTTATTACAATTCCTTATCAATGTTGGATCATGAGACAAATTTGCAACCTAGTCAAATTAATAATTACCCTGTAAGATTAGTTAAAGTGCAGAGTAGGCTAATTTTATCAAATTAACTTCAACTTGTAAATTTTATCACAACTTCAACAACCCCTAATATGTTTTATGGCGTACACAGCAGTTCTAGATTTGTTTTTTACTCTTTATGTATACAAGTCTGCTGCAAATAAAAAATCGTTTTTAATAATACTTACAACTAAGTTGCTCACAGTAATATCACAAAATAAGTCTTAAAATCTTGGATCTCATTTTTTAGATTCTTTATTCATGCAATAATATATATATGCTATTATATGTTTTTGGTTCATAACAAGAAAGAGACGTGCACCTATTTTAATTCAATTTCGTCAAATTTAACACGATAGAGTACATACAGTATGCAATATCTCTATATATACAATAAATTTCGAACTCAATTTAAAATTAATAAATTTAAGAAAATAGGTGAATAAAGTATTTGTAACAATATTTTAACGAGAAGCCAATCTTGGAATAATATAGTTTCAAAAGACCATTTGGAAACTGTTGCAGTAGTGTATTCTGGAATAATAACTGGGAATATATGCGTCTTCATTGTTTATCGGGTTCTGTAATCATTTTTGTTTTATACTCTCTGGCAGCGATGAATTTAGAAGATTGGAGATATTAATCGTTTCAACAAACCCACTGACATATTGAATAATGTTCTTAATAGATGATTCGGAAAGTTGTTTTGACAAATGTATCTATAACATCATGTTCACTATCCCAAGTTTTGAGGAAAACTTTTTGTGCCTTTTCAGCACATTCTAAACTCAAACGCCGGTCCATTATCTATTACGACAAATATTTTTATTGATTTCAATTCAGCAAAGTAATCTCTGAAACTAATTTATTAATACATTAAGATTGTCATACTAAAAACGGAACTCGTTTAAGTAAAAAAAATTTTTGTGTATATATATTTTTTATTTATGTATACTGATGAAGGTTTATGAGAACAATTTATTCCTTCAAAATAAAAAATTTTCTCATTATTACCCCCTTTTCTATTCAAAATGGAATCGTAATAAGATATAAAATTTTTGATTGAACAGATAAAGTTTTCTTAACTTCTTTAATAGAGACAGTTAGTTGAATCCCAACATAAGAACAATGTTGCTTTATATAAAGTACAATTTGTATAAATATTTCTACTTATAAATAATAAAGTTATGTCCGGAATTTTTGCAGTTACTAAAAAGTTTTATTATGATTATTGTTGTTAAAATGATAATTAAAAAAAAATTTGGATAACTTTTGTTGATATTATTTAATTTTTAATTTAGTTATACAAATTATAATTTTTCATATAAACCTTAATCAGTATAAATAAATAATCAAGAACAATGATTTTTAAAAAAGCCGCAATACATATTCTTATTTTATAAAAGATGCGGTTTTCGAAAGTGAATTTGTATTCATACGAATTATGTATTCGTATATACATTATAAAGTTAACATTTTTAATTAAAATTTTTACTTGCCCCTCAAAACTAAAGATTTTAATTAAAGTAACTACGAAGGGAACAACAATTACACTTAAAAGTAGTTTTCTGGTAAACTGCCTTTCTCGATATTTTGTTGTGCTTCTTGCAAAACCTGTCGAGTATGTTCCTCTGCAATAGTGCGTATCACATCGATGTCGTACTGGTTTTGCTGCTCATCTATGGATTTAGTAGGTGTGCTTATTTCTGTAGTTAACCATTAAATTAAAAAAAAAATTTGAAAATTAACTGTATATTAAAATGTTTTATATCTTAAAGCAAACCACACAAAATATGCTTATCTAAAAAATTTAAACAATATAAATTATAATTTTAATACTTTAAAACCCATTATTACAATGCAATGTTAAAGTCCACGTTTACTAAGATACACGTAAATTTATTTGATGGAATAATTGCTATTTAACGACTTCAGTTGTCTCCTAATTTCAACTGTAGTTCTTAAGAACATGAAGAAGAAAGACACAGTTATTCATATGGCACGTCCCAGTTGTCCAAATAAGTTTTGAAATGTTCGTAACTGTTATTACATAGTAAAGAGCAACTGAAAAGAAAATAACAAATAGCATATACGCTACGAGCGCATTTTACTTGTACAGAAACGCTAGTAGAATACGCATCCAATTTTCGATGCACGCACTCAAAATGACGATGAAGACATATGGTTCCAAGAACGGTGGAGTCTACGTCCCGGAGCCACTCGTCACCTACGACGACCAAGTACCGTTCAACACCTCCCAAAGGGACTCCACAAGCAGGTCCCGGCTGGTTACAACAACAACAACATAAAGACATATCATACATTTGTTGAAATAATGTCAATGACATTGTGTGCATATATCTTAAAGACTAGATATATCCATGTGCTGCACAGTATCTGCTCGTAGTATTTCGTTATTAACTTATCTTTTTTGCATATGTTTATCTAGCTACGTCTATGTAATTGACTAGAGATTGGGTCGGTGCCTTTAGACAGTCCTGAGGACAATAGAAACTATGATTAAATGTAAACATAGATAAAGCAAAATATTTCGAAATGGAAATTGTAAATTGTTTCATATAAAAATTGTGTATGCTCTTCAAAGCTAGTTAGAATGACATAATATTATACTGTGCTATACTAACGATTAATATTTTGAATTGCACAAGATGATTACATTTTGATTTTGTCAATTTAAAATAATATTATAATTTTTACATATCAAAAATTCTATAGAAATGTTTTTGCTTTGAACATAATTTTGGATGGAAATCAGAAACGTAGTGAAATGACATGTGTGAAAGTAAGCTAATGAAATAACATTACCATTATGACATTACGATTTAACAAAGTTAAAGGGGGACAGTTTTGCCTTTGACTTCCCGATATCAGATATTTTTGTTTAATTCAAGGAACGAACTGTACAGTACGCCACGTATCGTATCGTTCTGTACCTTTGAATGCACAAACACTTAAAACAAATATTTTATAGTGTTCATACATACGCCCAAACACTACAATTGTAGCATACTGTTTGCGTATATCAACAATAGTTTACAATAGGTACAAAAATGGTGTTTTCCAAAGATGCATCCACACCAAAGCGAACGCTTGCAAACGAACGAACTTTTGCAGATACGATTGCCTACGAATGTTCGTTCGTTAGCAAGCGTTCGCTTTGGTGTGGATGCACCATAAGGTGATGTTGCCTACAAAGTAAAAAATTTAGATTTGAAAAGTAAATAGGACTTTTCATTGCAAATATAATTTAGTTTTATTTTTCAATCTAAATGCAACTAAATTTAATTTCTAAATGTCGCAAAATATACGCAAAAAAACATCTGATTGTGTTCATCTCAAAGAAAATTCTTTAACGTAGATATAATGTTATTGTCAGGGGTTTTAGTAGAATGATAACATTGCATAATAATGGGTCTTAATAAGTTATAATATTTCTTGATTATCTATTTGTTTCTTACCGTTTTGAAGTTGGAGAGTTTCTACTTGAACTACTGGAGTTTCTGTTTTTAACTTATTAAAAATTTCTGATCCAATGTCGCACTTTTCTTCGTAACTTTCAATATTATTTTCCTGTGTTTCTTCGTTATTAACAAAAGGCGTATTTATTAACGACGATGAAGCTAATGAAGAGTTGGAAATTTGAAAGTTTTTTGATTCAATACTGTTGTTTGTATATTCGGTGAAATTTAAATCATTATCATTTATCCTTATTTCAGCTAAATTGCGCTCTGTATCATTTGTTACAGATTCAAAATTGCAAATGCACTTATCGACTATATCGCTTCGCCCAATTTGACGTAAGGCTTGCTCCAGTGTATTACCATTGGCATGTTTTCCTTGTTGGCGTAGCCAAAGACGCAGCATAACGAAAGGCTTTTCGTTTTGGCGATTTGAATATTCGTTATTTATTAAATCGATATCGGTCTCGGATACACCCAATTGTTTGGCTAGACTAAACCAGTCGCTCTCCAATAAATTGCATATTTCTGAGATACTAATAACTGCTTTTTGTATATCATTAGTAGTAGTGGTTTCATTTACTGAATTTATTGGAAGATTCGTGTGTTCCAGCATAACTATATCACTGGAATTATGTTTCAAACTATTAATGGAGTTGTGAAGGCTTTCAATACCATACTTCTGCTTGATGATACCTTGCCCTTCAAGTGAAATGTTCAAAATACAAATTGGTTTTTGAGTCGATGAATTTTGATTTACTTTTGCCGCATTCATAAAGCAAATGCGTGAAAATGGTTGCTCATCTGGATCTTTTATATGTACTAAAAATGACAGACGATTTTCTCGAAAAGCACGAAATTTCAGATGTAGTTGTTCGTCCGATTTATGAACTGGTACTAAATTACCAGCAAACTCCAAGTAAATATCTTGATCTTCGAGAACTTCAACTTCTCGACTGTTAGCTGCTTCGCTAAAGTACTCCTGCTGTTCCAAAGTTTTTTCTTCTTTATCATCAGTCATGCAAAATACTGATAACTTTGCCTCTGTAGCCGAAATGCGTTTTACGAAAACTACAAATTTAACCATAAATGGTACACGAGTCATATAGGAATATAAATCGGTTGCCATTCGACTTGCATCTGAAATATTACGGCAATCCATCAACCAAAAGCGTGCGGACACGGTTGTTGTGAATGTAATGCTGTCTTTAACAAATGTCAGTGGAGTAGACCCAGTGACATCTTCCCAAACGGCTCGATTTTGCCCTCCAGTAATAGAACATAATAAGCGTAATGTGGGTGCATTATTTGTATATGGTGAATTTACCATGCCTTGTGTGTAAGCTTTCGGTGCCGGGATGCTAAGAGTTATAGGTTTATGAAACTTACGACGACGCGGTTCAACTGTAACTACTGGAGATACAGCAACCCCTTGGCCTAGCATTTTGCAGCAACCATTTAGGTCAACTGGTTGTGCCTGAAGACCGACACGAATTTTTTTTGTTAGTGCATTTGATGGAAAAATTGCCTGAACTTCCGGAACAGCTAATGAAGATACAGTGCCACCATCAGGGCCAATAGCATGTACTTCTTGCCTTATACGAGATAATACAGCAAAGAAATGTGGGAAGCTATGTGTTACTATACGAATAACACGATGAGAATGCAAATCGTTTATACCACTTATTTCATTATTAAATTTTTTATGAATCTCGATGTCTTCTCCATTTTCATATAAAGTGTGTTCTCGCCAACTGTCACCATTATCAGAACGGAGTACAATTATTTCACGTTCCTTATCGCATAACGCACCAAAATGTGGAATTTCTAATATAACAGGTCTGTGGTAAATTAAATGAAATTAACGTAAACATTCGGTATTTAAATGTCAAAATTTCGTACCCTAAGAACTTTGCTTCCACTGGCGATAGTTCGATTATACGACTAACCAAAGCTTCTCCTTCCATAAGTGGTGGGGGGTTATGGACACGTAATGGTTTAACGTAACGACAAGTTATTCCTCAAAATTAAAGTTGTTGAAGTTGTAAATATATGTGAAATTTTTTTAAGAATGTGTATATATAAATTTTCAAATACTTACTTGTAGGTTGGGCACATGATTTTGGAGGTACAATAATACGTACACCACTATGTCTGTGAATGGTACATTGCTTCATCGAACCACCACGAGCATCTACTAAAAATGATACCAGAAACCTATTTAAAAGATATATAAAATAAATACATGACAATGCAAGTGAAGTCATATCATATTGAGACCCTCTAATTTAAAACTTAGAAGCCAATGAGTACTATTAGTCTGGATCTCAAAGGTATGTGTTTTATACTAACCCCAAATGCAAAGGTGGTCGAGTAATTGAAACATTATCCACTTGATTTGAAAGGTCAACGTTAGTAACATTCATTTTAACTGCATCCACTAATAATTTTAGGGAAAACTTTGAATAAGTTGTTCATTATCGATGAAGTTTAACATAAATATAATTTGATATATAGATAAGAAATCAAAAAATTTGCAAATAATAACTATGTTATTGATTTTAAGTGTTTAAATAAATTTTCCACACATTTTTTAATTCACATTTTATAATTTTTTTGATAGTAAGTTTAAAAAAAAAGCTCACCTTCTAAATTGCTTTTTGAAGCTTTTTCATCTGATTGCTCTTCATTGTCCATATTATCGTAGTTTTTATGATCTCCTTCGATCGTCGTTTTTAAATCATCTGTTGCCATATATTTGTATTGCTGATGATCCAAATGTTCGTCGTCACCCTCTTCTTCTGAGTCAGATATGAAGGTTTCATGCATTAACTCTGGGCCAACCACTTTGTATTTTTCTTCTAAGACGCCAACTATTGTGTTTTCAATCGTTTTTTCCGTAACAACTTTTAAAGTTTCCACTGCTGTCACATAACCGAGACTATTGGCGATGCTTAATGCGGTGTGACCATTCTATGATTAGAGAGATGATTAGCTGTCGCTGTTAGATATATATGTCTTAAAAAAAAGAATACATATAATAATTATGTTCTTATCAAAACGTCACCTAACCGCTTGAGTTTGATTAAAAAAATGCACTTAGTTTTCTTAAATAATAAATGGTTCGAAGATTGGAAACTAATTTTGTACTTATAGCTCCTCTCATATATGTGAAATATAAAATTTAAGGAACACAATTCTATCCGCACAAGAGTACTACTACAAACGATTTGATTTGCATTTTAATTTTTTGTATGTATCTACTTGTTTACTTCCAATCATTGTGTATATACTATAATTTTAAAAATAGATCACAAAAAGCTGCTTTCGTTACATATCAGTACACAAAAATACTTCATACGCATACATTTTGCTGAATTTAGCATAATTCAAAATAATGCTTTTATGTTATTTTTTTATCAGAAAAATGGAAATGTTTATTTAACTAGTTAACTTCGAAACTAAATAATTTGTTACTTTTGAATGTGTATATATCACACTGTGCAAAACGTACTATGAGCATAACTAAAGCATTTTTAGTTATGCTTGGCAACAGCTATACAGCCAAAAATTCTTACATTTTTGAAATCTCGTTAAAACATTTTAGTAAGCAAAGAAATTTTGAAAAATGGCGAATATAAAAAAGAATGCTTAAAACAATATGCTAACATTAAAGTAATATTTTGTCAAAAATTTTAAAAGTATATCGATAAATATTATAAAGCTTACTGTAGTGACAGCATTGGGGTTCGCCTTATGTCGTAACAATAAGTTAATAACCATCGTATGACCTTGCTGAGCAGCTTGATGGAGAGGAGTATATCCAACATTGGTAATCATTTCTACGTTGGCATCGTTTTCTAATAAGAATTTAACCATGTTAATTTGGCCATAGTGTGCCGCTAAATGTAGTGGTGTATAACCAGACTTAGTTTTATCTGATATGCGAGCTTGATGATCAAGTAATACCCTTGCTACTTCTGCGTGATCTTCTTGAGCGCATAAATGAAGTGGGGTGAGCCCATTTTTAGATATTCCATTAGGATCTACCTTATGTTCTAATAACAATTTTATTATTTCAATATGACCTTCTTGAGTAGCTAGATGAAGAGGCGAAAAACCTGCTTTACTGCGTACATCTGGTTCAGCTCCGTATTGTAGTAACAATTCAGCGTTTTCGATTTGATTTTTTTTAGCTGCAATGTGCAATGCACTATGTCCATTTTTGGCACATAAATGTGGGGAGGCACCTTTGTCAAGTAGTAATTGTACTACATTTTGGTGATTATAATGGCAAGCGACATGTAAAGGTGTTATCGAATTTTTACCTTGACAATTAATGTCAGCACCATGGGAGATTAGCAATGCAGCCAGTTTATCTTTGCCATATTTAGCTGCTAAATGTAAAGGTGTGAAACCCTTCTTCGTTATAGCATTCAGATGTGCATTGTTTTCAATTAGAATCTGTGCTACATCTTCTTGACCCTCCTTTGCAGCAATATGCAGTGGAGAGTATATGTCTTTCGTAGTAGCATTAACATTGGCCCCATGTTGCAACATTAGCATAATAATGTCGATATTTCCTAGTCGCGATGCTACATGCAAAGGTGTTTGTCCCTCGCGTGCATATACTTCAATTTGCGCACCATTGCGTAGCAATATTCGAATAATGTCGGTTTGATTGGCACGTGCGGCTAAATGCAGAGGTGTTTCCCCACGCACAGTTGTTGCATCTGGATTTGCATCATGCTGAAGCAAATAGATTACTATATTCATACAACCCATAAAGCTGGCAACATGTAAGCATGTCAAACCAGATTCAGTTGTAGCACTAATATTTGCATTATGTTTGAGCAATAATTCCACAACTTTAATACGGTTTTTCTTGCAGGCTATATGGAGAGGTGTAAAGCCATTTAAAGCACGTGCATTAGGATCTGCTTTGTACTGTAATAATAAACGTGCTACACGTACATGGCCGCAGTGTGCAGCTACATGCAACGCAGTTAAATAGTCCACTGTTACTTCGTCTACTGGAGCTTTATGCGCTAATAATATCCTAGCCGCTTCATCATGTTCACCTTGTGCTGCCATATGAAGCGGATTTAGTCCATTTTTAGTTTTGGACAATATCGGGGCGTTATTATTTAAAAGAGTTTCGATCACATCCACATGTCCAGATCTGGATGCGCAGTGCAAGGGCGTTAGACCATCCCTTGTTTTTGCATTAATTTGCGCATTTTTTGAAAGCAATAATTGAAGAATATTTGTTTTTCCCCACTTACAAGCAACATGAATAGGTGTAATATTATGTTTAGCAGTAAAATTGACGTTAGCCCCACGTTCTATTAATAGATTAGCAATATCCAGGTTGCCGTAGTGCGCTGCAATATGTAACGGGGTGAAACCGGATTTAGATATTATATCAGGATATTGTTCATTTTGTAACAACAAATTTGCAGCACTAACATCGTTCTTTTTAGCGGCTATATGCAATGCGGGCAATCGCACTTTACCTCGAACATCGCTTTCAAGAAGTACAGCAACAACTTTGTCATGGCCTTGTTGCATCGCTACTGCAAGTGGAGTGAAGCCGTCCTAAAAATAAATTTGTAGGATATAAATTGTTATTACGTAATATAATAAATTCGTAATAACAATTAGGTGTGTAAATTAAAAATATAAATTCAAACTCTGATATTTCAAATTTTACGTTATTTTATACTTTTTGATTTATAAAGATTATAACTGTAAAGTATACTTTATTTGTAAAGTAATAAAGCTCTATAATTTAACGAAACCTTTCCAGCAAAGTTCACTCGTTAAACAAAGATATCATTTTTATTAGTTGATGTAACATTAAATTTTATAATATCACGATTTTATTGTAATGTATTTTATTTGCTTAACCTTATTGTATAGAAATCTTCAGTGTTTTACAAAATTTAGTGCGACACTTCATTATTTTAGCAATAAATTTTCTATCATATTCGCAAATTAGTTGAAGTAAGTACCTTTAACAGTTATTGTGAATGCCAAATGGTGAGATCAAAAACATAGAAATATAAAGACATTTAATTTGTCTCGCCTATATGATAAAGGTTCAAAACAAAGCACTTAGCGATGCAGTTAACGCTCCGTGATATGTGTGAAATGTTGATCTACATCGCAACCTTAAAATACCTACTGTATGGTATACAGAAGGCAGCTAAAACACATTATGACAGACTGAGCCAAGGCGTTACTTTGCGATGTTACATACAGATGCTAAAGTCGCTTCAAACCAAAGAATCTTTTGAGGCGTTTCAACCAGCAAGGAGATGAATAGCTCACATCTATATGCTCAGTTTAGATAAGTAATATTAAAATAAAAAAAACCTCTTGTTAGTCAATATGACTAATTGTTGTTCATTTAAACTTTGCACTTTGTTTAAATATAATATAAACAAAAAAGGAAATTTGTTTTGCCTCTGTTAAAAAAATCATGAGTTCTGAAAAGGTATACGCAAAGGGAGAAACATGTCTGTTCAAACAGACATGAACTTATTATTTCATGTATGATCACTAATATTTTGTTGATGGAGTCACCACTAGTGACTAGGAGTTTTTGCTTGGGCAAAAATATATATAAAAAATTCTATTATCAGAGCAAATGCATACATAGGTCTTAGTTCATGCGTACCAAGGGATCCAAAGAAAGAAGTATAGTTTTTTGATACTGACTGGACACACAAACAGCAACAACATTTATTCCATTATTGTGTTACTGCACACTTATTAAATATCTTTGTATGCGAGGACAAGTTAGGCATTATTGTTGAAAGTGATGATGAAAGTTGTGCTGCTTTTTCTTGAAATATATGATTGGCTTTGTGTGCATGCAATGCACAAGTTCTTCCAAATAATTTTAAATTTGATTTTTAATGAAATTTTATTATGGCGTCATACAAATATATGAACTTTGCTTATTATAAAGTGAGTAAGCACCGACAGTACAGCAACCACAGTTGTTGTTAATGTGAATGCTATTAATCCAATAGTCCGGTAGTGAAGACAGTACTATGCCTTATAGTAGCAATAATATCATGAAGCATATTAACAAACATCATGCTTAATAATTAAATATGTTTTATATTTTGTTTTTAATATTATATAAGTAAATCATATAAAATACAATTGTAAAGTAAATTTTATTACATAAAGCACATAAAATATAATTACATACTAAATTTAATATAATTAAATTAAAGAATTATTAACTGTTTTTTTTTGTTTTTTGTAATAACACTTAAGATATCTGTAAAATAAAAATATACATAAGTTACCAACTGTGATATTTTTTATTTGATCATTAATTTGTTTTTATATAAGTTACTATATAAAAATAAAATTAAAAAAAAAAACTTAAAGCCTGGAAAAATTTATCACATAACGATCATACATGAAATAATAAGTCCGATAGATTATATATTTGAACATACATGTTTTTCCTATTGCGTGTACCTTTTCAGAATTCATGATCTTTTTAACAGAGAAAAATTGAATGTCTTTATATTTCAGTGTTTGAGTCAAATATGCATAATCTAAAATAACGAATTTGGTATAAATCATTGGTTATTTAGATAGATGATTTTAGGTTTTTTATATAGAATAATAAATGCAAGCATTTGTTTGTTCGCCATTAAGATGCTTTGTTACATCGAGTATTCTTCAAATCGGTAATTTTCTGTATGCTGATATAGCACGGTTTTCGAGATATCGGAATTTAGAATTAGAAAAGCTTGCTTAAAATAGCCGGATTGACCAAAATAGTAGCGATGCTTTATATGGTTCTTAAAAGGGACTGAAATCAAATTTAAACTTACTTCTGTAGCTAGTGAAGGATTTGCACCTTTAGTCAGCAAAAAACGTACACATGCATCATGATTTTCTTGAGCAGCCATATATAGCGGTGTAAAACCATTTAAAGATTGTACATTAACATTCGCGTTGTAACTTAGAAGCAATTTTATTACATCCTTTTGACCAGCTAATGATGCTATGTGTAATGCAGTATTGCCTTTTTTGGTAGCATTATCCACTTTGATACCTCGTCGAAGTAGTTCAGTAACTATATCGATGTATCCATCTTTTGCCGCTAAGTGTAAAGCATTTAACCCATTCTAGTTTACAAATAAAACACTAAAATATATTTTATATTTATTAAAATTGTTAACTATTTACCGCATTGCTCGAATTAATGTCAACTATTTGACCAGTTTCAAGAAATTCCAAGACTTTCTCTAAATCACCGCTACGAGCAGAACGTAAAAATGATATCGTTACATCAGCCTACATATAGAAATTTTTATTTATATTACGTCTATGATTAATGAAAGATTGATATGTATCAGATGTATCAGCAATAATAATTGCAGGTATAAAATGATGAAGCAAAATAAACAAAAGAAACTAAACTAAATAAAACTTGTAATTGCAGCTAAAGGACTAAAAATAAAACGTTCAAGAGACATTGTACGTTCCGAAATAGTTTTTTAATAAATAAAAAATGATAGCGATATCGTTGCAGTTGTTATTTATTATTAAATGTTGTTGTTGTTGTTTTTGTTGTGATTTGAGTTAGTGCTATTGCACACTTTTACTCTTTTGTGGCTGAGGGGCTTATTCCTGCCCCACACTAAGCTTTAACTATACTAGAATTATTATCATTTATTTATCTTTTAACTGATGACGGACCGTAGATCAGCATATCTTCCTGTGCGTCGTGAGGTGGACTTAAGGTTTGTTAGGGCGGGGTTGGGCTAAATCGATCCTTAGATCTCTATGCATGTCTGTTGTTCTAATATACCAAGGAATCTTAATTAGTCTTCTTAAAACCAGATCTTGTGCTGTCTGTAATTGCTTTATAGGAGTATTTGAGGCTTTGCTGTATATTAAATGTTGTTATTGTGTTTAAACTTTTAACATTTATATTTATGTTTTCATTTTAAATGAATAAACTTCTATTATATCAATTAAACATACATATTTAAATGCTTGTTGAAATAATTTTCAAAATCTATTGATACATAAACAACTTTTTCATTCTCAATGTATTTTTGCATAATTATTTATTTATAATTGCAAACAAGTACCTATACCATTTTGATTTTAAAATGTCATGTATCCCTCATTCATATCCAAGTCAAAGTTAAATTTTTCCTTGTATCTTACAAATGCTTTAAAAATAATTTATTAGTTAATTATCTTTCCTATAAAATGCAACAACGTCATGTATACGCTACCTCACCTCAGTATTTCAGCCTCATCTTCAGATTTCGCTTCAGTAATGCTGTAATGGTAACCTGAAGTCTAAAGTAGATTCGTTAGTTCGCTTATCGTAACCGAACACCGCGTAACGCACAATCACACCTAGAACGAACGGCTATATGTGCATACGTCCGCCATTAACTAACATTTTAGTTGTAAATTCAATTTAAATTATTGCATTTAAAATTTGTCAATTTTTGTTAGTCTTTTTTATTTGGCATATTAAGTAAGGCGTGGTATTTGGGGTAGTGACGTCATGCATAAATATATGGTTCATCTCTTTCGGACACTATTCCGGTTTATGTTTTTAATTATTCTTTACGCCATTTATTTCTCAGTTTGTTTTGTGTAATTTGCTTCATTGTTAAGTCACTATTTAATAATGATCTCATCGCTATTATGTATTGTGATCTTTAATTTTCATGCTTTTAGAAGTTTACTTGTCTGTAACATATATGCCAAAATCATTGTCATAGTCTCCCCATTATACCATATTAAAACACATGAACTATTAATAACATTATTTAAGATCAGTGAGTAATTGGATGTACTGAGATTTATTTTTATGAGTACCAACAAAATTTATAGAGTGTGTGATATGCATTTGGGTTAAAATATAAACACCAACTAAACAAAATAATAACAAATATATCAGAAAATTGTTAGTAATTCGTACCTGCATAGTATTTGCATTATTTCCAGCGTCTCCACTTGTTTTCTCCTTTACAGACAAATGCTCGTTATTTTGTTGTGATATTATTTGATTGGAATTCTTCGTTGCTAAAGTTGACATATTTCCATTATGTTTAATCTTCTCTCCAAGAGTCATATTTTACTTAAAAAATTTTATTTTTAGTTATTTTAAAGTATGAGATTATCTCCTCTTGGTTTGATTTTGTTTTTAAAATACAGAGTTTAATTAAAAATTTTTTTTGGTTAAAATACTTTTTGAATGATTACTTGAAATTTGGTTTTACTACGTTTATATGTATGTGAATATAATGGAGTTGTAAAATAATCTAACTTCAATCAAAAGACAATTACCGGAATTAATGCATTGTTGCCCAATAAAATTATAGTAATACTTTCAACAGTCTACTATCGATAAATTGGATATTTAAGCGAAAGAAGACAACTTCAAAGCCAAGTGGGTTTGTTATGTATTCTATTAACCACAAACATGGATTTTAAAACAGACAATTTACCGGGTAATCAACATTCCATTGTTATTCTTCATAAACTTATTCTTCATACTTATTAGGATATGGCTAAACGAATCATAAGAAATGTAACATTCATAAATTTATATACTTAACCATTCCGGTTAATGTGAATTCAATTCTTTCATACTTATGTTTAGTACACGGTTATACTCCCATTAAATATAATTACAACGGGCACGTACGTCACACGGAAATTACGTCATAGACAATATTTCTTACACCGAAGTATAGATACATTCTCATACATTAGCGCACTGTAGCGTTATTTCAATTATGCGGTTATGAAGATGAGCTGCATTTCTATTTGCAGCAACTTTTATTTTTGAAATTTAGCTGGCAAACGAACAATATGAGTCCAATTACTTTCAAATTACCACAACACTTTTATTAAATAAGGTGTAATGAATATTGAGCTAGTTTTCACTTAATTTTTAAGTTAACAAAATACGTAGATAACTACACTTTTTTATTTATACATATGATGTACAAAAATATTGTATCCATTTATTAACAGAATTATTTTCTTCTTATTTGTCAAAAACTAATGTTTCTGTTAATGGTAACGGATACGTTTTTAAATTTCAAATTCATTAAATATATATTTATTTATTTATATATATAAATATATATAAGTTTAGAAAAAATTCCTGTAGTTTGGAAAAGCTTAAAATCTTAAATTTTGATTGTGCTCTCCAACAGGTACTTCACACAATCCACTCAGTATATTAATAAATACAACATTTTGACTTAGTTGATTAATTAATATTTTCAATATAAATACTAATACTTGAAAATGTAAAATAATTTATTAAAACACACTTGCACAACATATCTTCCCTTCCACCTATCAATAAAACTTTCAATGTACTAATTTTTAGAAATACTGAAAGCCAATTTTCATTCTGTATTGTATTAACCAACATCTCTTTTGTTTCCTAAAATCAGTATTACCAGAGTCATGTAGTGAAAACCAAAGAATACCTAGCAAAGAATGGAAGCTCTACCCGTATTGAGCGAAACAATGCGAAATTGCTAAGGGCTATGTTATGCAGAGTGTCTCGAGCACGGGAAATTACGCTCTTTCGGGCTATGCCGAAAATGCATGTTATGCAGAGTGTCACATCAATATTGCCAATTTCGTATTTTTACAATGTTTTAATACTTTTTGGTTGTGCATAAACTTAAAAGGAAATTTAGATATGTTGACTTTCAATTTGCCACCAAAAATAACTCGCAAGAAAAAACTCATAGAGGCTGTAATAATGTTAATTTATTATTATATTATCTTACAATAATTGTTAACAGTACTTAACAGTATTTACGCCTTTCTTTAAAACTGGAACGTGTAATAATTATATTATTAGTGATTTATAGAAAAAGGCTGTGTTGCGTACTGCCATTTATTACTAAACAACACTGTTTTGCATTAGTGCCGGAGCACAAATACTCCGGCTCTCATGCCAGAGTTTGAACGACCATATTATATTTTTTCTCATTCTCAAATTTAAAATTTGCATTGAAAACAACAAAAATGTACTCATGCCGTGCCAGAGACACTCTGCCTAACATGGCCCTAAAGGATATTAATTGTATTACCATTTTGGCACAAATATGTAAGGACAGAAATTTATGCAAATTCTCCACATGTACACCCCTATTCTGAAGCATATGGGAATGAGAGTTTTTTCCCTTTTTCCCTGTTTTCCTTTTCTGAATATTGTGGGAATGGAAGTTTTTTCCCTATTTTGCAAAACATCATTCCCAAGCAAATTGTGTGGGAGATAAGTTAAAAAGAGTTTAATTTAATATGTAAGTAACTTATAATGACGAGATTTTTGAATATATATGAATAAAATTATTATTATAATAAAATTATCAAAATAAATTTAATATTTTCAAATTTTTATTTTTTTATTTTATCCACACGCCTTTTATATACAAATGAAAGCGTCAGCTATTGTTATTTAAAACAATAGACTTGTAGTAAAGAATGCAATAAAATATAAGTTTTTAATAATTTTATTTAAAGTTTCTTTTCAACTAACAATTATGTTGCTTCGATAACAACGAACTTAAAACTTGAACGTATGTGTTTTTAAAAAACAGGATTGTCAAATTTTTATTTGATTTGTAATTTATTAACTTCTGTTTTTGATGATGCCACATGAGCGCCACATCACTCCCCCACCAGTGGTTGAGTAGAAACGATGCCACGTTACACGCACTTGATCCTATGTCAAAAATTTGACAGGTAATCGAATAACTCTGCCACTGGATGCGCTACGATCAGAGTTGAGCTCCTGCTGAGGTCTTCGTATAGGTTGTGCATCTGGACTTGACTGAAGTGAAATATATCGTGACAACTGTGTGTTTGATTCGATTTCTTCATTCAACAAGTAAGCCGCCTTCACTCTATCAATGCTCACTTGGATAGGTCGGTCTTTGATTAAAATGGTAATAAGCTTACGATCACGCCGTATCACTTTGTATGGTCCGTCATAAGGTGATTTCAAGGGAGGTCGAACGTTATCATCCCTTAGGAACACGTGTGAACACGTCTGCAGGTCTCGTTGAACGAACGTTTTCGCTTTTGCATGATTTGAACCTGGAACCGGACGTAATTGATCCATGGTCTCCCTAAGAAAAATTGCGAATTCGGAGTCACATCCGATGTGAGACGTCTTCTCAAAGAATTCTCCTGGAAGCTTAAGAGATGTACCATATACCATTTCCGCTGGACTAGCTTGGATGTCGTCTTTGAACACACTCCGTAAAGCCAGCAATATCAGTGGTAATTCCTCTGTCCACCTTTGATTAGACTTACACTTCAGTGCAGCTTTTAGTGTTCTATGAAATCGTTCCAGAATTCCGTTCGATTGTGGATGTCGCGAACTTGTACGTAGATGTTTAGTACCAATCAACTGCATAAGTTCAGCGAACAACTTTGATTCGAACTGTCTGCCCTGATCTGTAGTGATCTCTGAAGGAACGCCATAGTGTGAAACCCATCCCGTGATGAACGCCGCAGCTACTGTGTCTGCACTAATGTCCATAATGGGAATAACAACAGACCACCGGGTAAATCGATCTATGCATGTCAGGCAGTAGCTGTATCCGTCTGATGGTGGTAATGGCCCCACGATATCAAGGTGTACTGCTGCAAATCGCCGGTCAGGTGCCTTGAAGGTTCCGAGTGTTGTTTTTTTGTGTCTACCTATTTTAGCTCGCTGGCATTGTGGACATGTTTTTACCATTTTTGCTACATCCCTTTTAATGTTTGGCCAGACAAATCGTTCACTGATCAGTTTTGCCGTGGCCTTGCTACCTGGATGACCTAAATTATGTATGGTGTGAAAAACTTGTCTAGGAAATTCATCTGTGATCCACGGTCGCGCATGCTTTGTTGAGAAATCGCACGTAATAAGATTCGATGAACTAGGTAGATGCACCAATTTAAGCTGAAGTGAAGTCTTGCCCTGTGATATGAGTTGTTGAAGCTCCATGTCATTTCGTTGGCTCTTTGCTAACTGATCAAAGTCAATCTGCTTTTCCCCCTGTATTGATTCAATGCGTGATAGGAAATCAGCAACGCTGTTGTCTTTACCGGGAAAATGTCTGATATCAGTAGTAAACTGACCTATGTAATCCAGATGACGCAGTTGCCTGGGCGATGCTTTTTCAGGATTTTGCTGAAATGCAAAAATAATGGGTTTATGATCAGTTAACACCGTACAGTTCCTGCCTTCTACCATATGTTTGAAATGCTTAATTGCTTGATAAATGGCAAGAAGTTCTCTATCATAGGTACTGTACCGTCGTTGTGTGTCAGTTAACCGTTTTGAATAAAAACCAAGTGGTTCGAGTCGGCCTTCACGGATGTGATGCAATGCAGCTCCCACCGCTGTATTACTCGCATCGACATGTAGAATGAGATTGGCTTCTGCTGTTGGGTGTGCAAGTGAACTGGCATCAGCAAGCGTTTTCTTAAAATCAACAAATGCTGATTCAGCTTCTTTTGTCCACTTAATCGGCGTTTTGTCATTTTTCCGATTTCCTATTATTAGTTTCTGCAGCTTTTCTTGAACTACCGCTGCATTAGGAATGAAACGACGATAAAAATTCACCATGGCCAAAAAACGACGAAGTGCTTGCGCACTGCTTGGCTTCGGACAATTGAGAATTGCTTCAACCCTTTCTTTTGGCGGACGAATGCCATTTTGATCAATACTGTGACCGAGAAAGATAACTTCCGTCTGAGCAAACACGCACTTGTTGATGTTGAGTTTTAGACCGAATTGGTGTAAACGCTGAAACACTGTGCGAATGTGTTGAATGTGTTCAGCTTCATTCCTAGACGCGATGCAGATATCGTCTATATAACATACCGTGAAGTCCAAACCGCTAAGTACTTGGTCCGTGAACCGTTGAAAAGTTTGAGCTGCATTGCACAGTCCGAATGTCATCACATTAAACTCGAACAGCCCGAATGGTGTGATAATAGCAGTTTTCTTTCTGTCCTCAGGTGCTATAGGTATACTGAAGTAAGCTCGTTCCAAGTCAAGTGTGGTGAAGATAGTTTTACCACTCAAATTCTGAGTAAAATCTTGAATGTGCGGTATCGGGTAACGATCTGGAACTGTTTGTGCATTGAGTCGTCTGTAATCTCCGCACGGCCTCCAAGTACCATTTTTCTTCTCCACCATATGTAACGGATTGGCCCATTCGCTTTTTGAGGGAGTGCATATCCCTTGATCAAGCATGTGCTGGAACTCACTTTTTGCTGCTTGCAACCTTTGTGGATTGAGCCGCCTTGGACGTGCATAGACTGGTTGCCCCGTGGTAACGATGTGATGTTGCACCGTGGTTCTTACTGCTCCAGACTTGTTATACGATGTTGGAATTGTTAGATCTTTGAACTCTTCCAATAATTTTCGGAATGGATGATCTGCATTCACTGCGAATACTGGCTCTGGCATTTGTAACGCTGTTGCACAATGAACTTTCATTAGTTTTGCTGTCAACGAGGAGTTTATGCTGCAAATCTACCATTAGACCGTAATATTGCAGAAAGTCAGTTCCCAGTATAGGTTTACATACATCGGCTACGACGAACTCCCAATCAAGCTTGCGCCGCAGGCCAAGATTCAACGTCATTAATTTATTTCCGTATGTTTGTATTGAAGTTCCGTTTGCTGCATACAAGAGTTTGGCAGATGCTGTCGGCTTAGTTCTGCCGAAGATTGATAGGGGTAGAATTGAGAAATCTGCACCTGTGTCGATAAGGAATTTCAATTGCGTCGAGGGATCTAAAACATATAATCGGCTGGATTTGTAATAACTTTTTGCATCGCCAACCGCCGGTGACGAAGCGGAATTTAGTTTTCCATGGTTGTGAAACTGCATGGCTTGGCACACTTGCGCGCACTTGCGCCAAAACGATGACGGTAGAAACACACTGGATATTTCAATATCAGGTTTTCCGGGCGCGTTCGTGAATGTTGTGTTCGTGCCGGTGTATTTGATCTACGTCGTGAGCGAAATTGGTGTTGCGACACTTTGCTGTCTCGAAACTGCTTGCTAAGTTCTTCCACAGCATTCACTAAATGCTTAACATCAAAGGAAGAAGGCACAGCTGGATTGTTACCTAAATTTCTCTCACTGGTATGCACTTCAGAAACAGAATTGAAATATCCCATTTCCAGCATTATATCTGCTTGTTGTGCACATTTATCCAAATCGACATCAGAAATGGACACGACCGCTCGTACAGCTTCTGGTAGACGATCCAACCACAATTGTTTTATTGCGCCATCGTTCATAGTGCCACTGGACAAATCAAGCATCGTTCGTAGCAAATGCGACGGCTTGTGGTCACCTAACTGACATTCTTGAAATCTTGAATCAATCGTCTCTTGACTGCTTCATACTTATTAACGGCAGGTGGAGCACGTATAATATCGGCGATGTTCCTCAACGTGTTGCTGTCGAGACTGCCGACAACGTGGTCGTACTTCGTTTGATCCGTTGTTACGCCCGCGTTTCGAAACTGCGACTCCATTTGAATGAAATATAGATCTGGATCTCGCTTGCTGAAAGCAGGTGCTTTAACTCCTATGCGGCAAATGTTACCAGCTAGAGTGTTAATTTGCGCACTATTAACTGTCAGCATATCATTAGCATCATGTACATTATTGTCTGCTTCAGTTTGCGACATGTTTTGAGTTGTTCCGAATTTACGACTTTTATTATTAATAACTACCGTAGCACTTATTTCTAACCGTCGTGGGTCACCAATGTAGTAAAGAATGCAATAAAATATAAGTTTTTAATAATTTTATTTAAAGTTTCTTTTTAACTAACAATTATGTTGCTTCGATAACAACGAACTTAAAACTTGAACGTATGTGTTTTTAAAAAACAGGATTGTCAAATTTTTATTTGATTTGTAATTTATTAACTTCTGTTTTTGATGATGCCACATGAGCGCCACAGACTAATGAAAGAAACCCAAATTCTAGAATGAATGGGATTCCTTGAATAAGTTAATATAATTTTTTGTAATTATACGCAGATAAAACATTGCTTCTTTTTATTGTAACTCTGCACAATTATAAACTATTATTACTGTTTATTAATTGAAATACATTTCTATCCTAATTATAAAAATAAATAGGACTTTTAGAGAGTGTTGGAAACGTATAATCATTATTGAATAGTAGGCTATTCTTATTTGATTAATCGTATTTAACATATGTAAAAGACTTCAAATAAGATATATAAGGATAAAGTTAAGTTGGTTAAAACACTAATTAACAGAGAGGAACTCAAATGTTAGTAAAAATAATTAAAATTCCAATTAATATATAACATATTTTACTTTGTTTTATTGTATATAAGAAAAAAATAAATTATGTAGATATTTAAAACATAAAATAAATAAAATAAAAGTTTTTTTATTATTATTATTTAGTTATAAAGTATTCATTATCTTTATTTTTGATATTTTGCATTGCAGAGAAATAACACGATTTTTTTATTTTAATCTACATATGATACGTAATTATTTTCTTTGTTTTGCTCATTTTGCACTTTTCGTCATTAAAAAGTGCCATAGTTGCCAAAGTTCAACAAATCAAATTTGAAATTTTTGTATTGCCCCGCGATTGCATCTGCTCTGGACAGCCCTGCCATACATAATTGGCGACTCCGTACAGATATTTTTACGACTAAAATATTTGACAAATGCACAACGAAGGGAATGCAAATGCAGGGCAACCTTAAATTGCTTACGTCTCCGTAAAAGTTCTATTTTTGCACGCAAATCCAGCACTTTGGTAGACGCAGAAAGATTCACTTTTTGTTGCCGCACATAGTACGCAAGATGCAACGATATTCCACACCTTTGTACCGTAATGTAAGGCAGCGTGTTATCGTAAATTGCTAACGCAGTGCTAAATCCATTGTGTACTAACATGTACACAATACTGAAACAGCGCAGTTTGGTGCAATTTTAAGACTCAGAGCAGAAACATCTGAGGAAATTGCTGCAAGAACTAGTACTTGGCGACAAGAATTCATCACAGTTACTTTACAAAATGCGCAGCTGAAAATGACGTTAACGACACTTTGCTAAAATCAGTGTGGGATAAATGGATTAAAATTGAGCGTGTCATGTATATAGCAATCTAGGTAAAGTAGCACTATAATATCTTGGTAAAGTCAGATATCGACGATCCAAAGAACCCACTTAGATCCATAGGCTCATTGTTGTACCATATGAGAAAAATTATAAATTTGATACCATCTTGAATGTTTGGCGAAACTTATATTTCTATTTAGGGAAAGTCTTGCAGTTGACCAAGATCCTCAAAAAAAAGCCTATCCACTCTCACTCTCACTCTGAAATGGAGATTCGATCTTCTAGCATGGTTAACCAATCAATTGTACTCATTCTTGTGGTAGATGATCTACCACAAGACTGATATTTCTACGAAGCATTTTAATGAGAGTCTTGAAATTATTCTTAATAGAGCGTAGCTAAATTGTGTACATATGCCTACGTATCGTAAAATCTTTCTATTTTTTTATTAAAAAGTTCAGCATCCCGTCAAACTAGCTCGTCTAGTTTGCAATTGTCGAAAATATCCCTAACACCGAGAACACAGATTGAAGAAATATTCAAATGCGTCGGCATCTCGTTTAAAGGTTTGTAGCAATCAAAAACTTTCCAAGATGTCAATTGGACTAAACTCAAGGACTTTAAAGCAACTTGACTTTCTGATAATATGTATATATTTCTATGAAGTATACCATCTACTTCCAGATAAGCATAGGGCCCCTAAAAGTGATCACCTTAACTTAAAAAACACTGTAATGATTTAGAAGTCTATAGTTATAAACCATATTTAACCTAATGGAGAAAATTTCACTGCCTACACCAATACTTGTTTTTGATCCGTCAATAATAATGGATAGACCTTCCATAAACATTCACTGTCAGGGTCCTCCTGACAGTCATATATCTCTACATGGTATTTATTTTCGTGCAACCATTAACGCAATATCATCCGCATATGCACTAGCCTTCCAGCCCGGCGTAGGTTGAGTAGCAGCTTATTCACCGCTATATTCCAGAGGAGGGGAGAGAATACGTGCCCTTAGCGAGCACCTCTTTTTACCCGTCTGTATGCTGTTGATAAACACATATTTGCTTTAATAATTCTGTCAGTTAGTAACGGACTGATAACGCAAATAAACACATCATCAATACCCAGACACGAGAGTGCACTTGCTATTGCACTTGAAAGTATATTGTTAAAAGCGCCTTCAATATCTACAAAAGCAACTAGAAATAGTTCCTTCAGTTTGAGAGGTTTTTCGGTGGTATGAGTGAGGGCATGGAAAGTAGTCTCTGTAGATTTTCTCTAATTGTGGGCGTGTTGTAAGGGAGGCCAATGATTGGGATCAATAATGAGTCAGTTTGTATTAACATATTTGAACGTTTTGAAACTAGTGGTATCTAAATTATTTATGGCTGAAATAAATTCTAGAATCTTATTGCCTGAAAAAGAATGTTGGATGATAGCCTTTCATTTCTTGACAGATTCATGAAGTTTGGCAGTAGCGATGGAGATATCTAAACTTCTTGCCTGTTGTAGATAATAAAAGTTGACCTATTGCCACCATTGCATATAAAAAAGTTATTACTAAATATAAAACCAAAAAATTATTATTTATAATAGTGCTGCCACATTCTTAATGACTAATATTGGCGTCGTAGCCTATAATAAGTTTCGCACCAAGTCTCCTAGCGCCGCTTGTCAAGAGACCAGCATCACGATCGTGTACTAAATATGCAGATAATATCCATATTTAGCCCCAGAAGCCCTTAATACTTACTTCTGTCTGATTTTTGTCGTCGTGCGAGAAACTACGCATGACGTAAAGAGATAAGAAGTCAGTGCCAGATGACTTTTTGGACGGTTTGAGCCTGAGCATGTTGGAAAGGTTGGAAGGGGTAACAAACTCTTGGGTGTCTTCAACATTGACGCAGTGAGCGGTGAACTGCAGCGAGAAAGTGATAATGCTTTTATTGAAAGCATCGAAAAGCACATGGACTACGGCATTCGTAGTCACAAAGACTTTACTAAAGACCTTGGTCTTGTCAAAGTCCTCATATGCTATGGTGTTGTCATAACGAAGTTCTGAGATGGAACTATTGAATCCCCACATTTGCCTGATCCTGTTGAAGACATCAGAATGGCACTGGGTGGCATGAAATTTGGCACGAAGGAAATTGAACCTGGCTTGGTTAACTCTCTGAGCAATTATGGTGTCCAGGTTCTTGAGAATGGCTTGGGACGCATGAGCTTGCATAGAGGCTACCTGTCTAAGGCGATAAGTCTGGGGCTAAGCAATTTCCTCAGTTTAATGAAGTAGACGGTGGAAGCATTAAGTGGAATTTGATAAAATTCACGAATACGCATCTTTGGAACATACGCATCCGCTGTGAAGGCGAAAATGCTTTTAAGAGCAAGGGCCGAAAATCAATCTTCGCAGTAGTCATGTTTCTGTCTTTAGAGATGCTCAAATGAAGAAGAAGCTGGTCGAAAGTAAGGTTGAACTTCAACCAGTTTGTGCTAGGAAAGTTGAAAAAAGTGTGAGGACCGGCACGAGCAGTTCTGCAGTAATGAAGCGCAGGCCTCACAGCTTGGGGGTCATATATGCTGTCGATGACTCGTGGGTCGCCAAGGCGGAAGAGGAGGCGATAATCCGCTAAGAAAAAGTCAATGATACTGTTGATATGAGTTGAAACCTAGGGAGCTATCACACCTAGTTGATAGCCCTGACTGACTGAGCTGATAGCCCACCAGTTGAAGAGCCTGGTGCCACTAAAGCGAAATTATTTCAAAAGGGTGATTGCTATTAAAGTCACCACTAATAAGGAAAAGGTCAAAGGACCTAAGCAGGAGGCTTGCCGCTAGACAGGGGCTTGGGCCTTCGCGCTGGCTTAGGGCACTAAAAGTGCTACAAACGGCAGCTGTAGCAGGGGAGAGGGGGACAGTAATTACAGCGGGTTGAAGAGGAAGGAACTAGTGGGCTGTACGGGTACAGCGCCAGCTTAGTGGCAAGGAAGAAATTTTCGGCACGTGTCCGGGCGTTGTCAGCTTTAAGGGCTGCAACGAATTTCAAAACAGACGCAAGCTGCTTATCAACTCGCTTACGGTGTTGGGCCTTGGGGATCAGAAACGAAACGACAGTCCACGGTCGTTTTAGTGAGGGAGTTTGTGATAAACCCATTATCAGGGCTAACAACACAGGGATGCGGGTCTCCGTCTTCCAT